TGTTCCCTCACCTCGGATTAAAACGAATGGACTTTGAAGTTCTGGAAACAATAAAATAAAGCACTTCGGGATAATCCATTAGAGATTTAAATAAAGGCTTTTCAACAGTCACTAACTTTAACAGACATACGGCCATATTACTTTGAACCGGTTCCTGTACGATCACTGAAATTAAACAACATCGAAACTCGTCTATATCTAGATGTGTTGTAAGCTTGGATGCGCGGGTGGTGTAATGGATAACAGCTCGGAATTGAAATTCGGTCAGTCGTGTTCCTACCCTAGTCGGATTCGTTATATGATAGTTACGCGCAAATACCCTTGAGAAAGGTATTAATCCATCTCTTCTCCGCAGCTATGGGTTAATTAGTAGAACTTGTTTCAGTAAATCATTATTATCCCCGAATAATTCTTAAAATCTAAAAAAATAATATCTGGCTTTAAATTACCTAGAAAAGGTTGATAAACCGTAAAAATCCAAATCAGTCAATCATTCAGTCACAGAGGTTAAATGAATGTCTTAATATCATTTACATTCACACACACCGGCATCATTACTCCCTACTCATCAGTATACCACACAACTCATTATGAATACTTTTTAACCATTTGTCAAGCTTTCGAAGTCAAATTATTCGAGCCGTTACAGGCTTTTTCCCACCATCGTCTGAATAATGTACCTGAACACATTAACTGCCAATTTTTTTAATGTGCATTTTTGGCTCAGACAGGTGTTTAGCAGTTTATTTATTCCTTATGTTTAATTTCATTAGTTACCATTGTCATTTTTATAGAAACTAGAACATCAAATGTATATGTGTATCAAACATCAAAAAATGATATTGATTAGAAATAATAAAAACATACTTTTCAAAATAGTCATTATTTTTCTATTCGTGAAATGTAAAATTTCGACAGAAAGTGTCTTCTTACGGCTAATAATAAAAACTTTAAAGGCTAAGTGTTGTAAAATATACCTCTGCAAATGCAATTTATGTAAGCAGTTCAACGTAAATACAAGGAATAAGATGTAGTGAGTTTAATTTTAACAGATCCCCAAATGGGGCTCATGGCAGGTAATGGGTTAAATAAGAACTCTTTCTTTATTGTTAGATGTTACTACTTGCTTCGTATACTTATCTCTATGCACTGTGTCTGTTTATTGTCGCTAAGTACACTCACCTTAGCCTCGTGCTACCTTCCCCAGGGAGCCTCTCGTCACACAGTATGAAGTAGCCAACCACGCAAGTGTCGTACTGTCTTCTATAACTTGTTGACCCGAGTTTACAAACGAGTGATCTTTCAAATCATCGTGTTCATTGGAAAAGTTTCTTTTTAATTTTATTGACTACAATAGATGTATTGGAAGTAACGGTCAACCAAACGATTTTAGTGCAATCGAAATAACAAACGAGACTGACTTACTAATAATAGCAGCACGTTGAAAAGTACTAAGACTAGGTTTGTACGACACAAGGAACCAATGTATGGCGCACATGTAGAATTTAATTCGTAACAGAAGTAATACTCAACTAGTCAATGTAACGTTACGTGGCGAAATAAATAAATAATGTAATAATATACATTCACAAACCCATGTGAATAAATAAATTTTGAGTGGCAAAAGTGAGGTTTAATTTCTACTGAGACAATAGTCATGGGGCATGTGAATATAAAAGAAGTTCTGGATTAAGGAAAAACACTTCCACTTCGAACCTCGACTGGTGAACATTATAATGTATGGAAGTAAGGTAGGATTTAATTTCAGCGATTTCCTTTATCCTTAATTTTGTCTTCAAAGAAAAATGTCCTTGATGTCAGTAATACTAAAACATGGTCTCTATATTTCATTTTCATTGTTTTTCTTCATATATCACGTTCCTTTTTTCTTTTTTTTTTGTATCTTTTTGGTTTGGTTTGCTTTGGATTGGTTTGTTTTACGGCATATTAACCTCATTGGGTTATTTAATGCCGACAAAATTTTTATTTTTTCCAAAAATATATTGCTAACAGGTGCTACGACCCCCGGTAAAAATGGACCTGGGAGCACCAGCAATTAAGAGGTGGTTCCACGCTCCTCATAACCTCTTGATTAAAAGCCTTACTGCCGGATGTAATTTATCGTCTTACCCAGGACGGGTATCTTTTTGAACATGCCTACAATGTATCCTGCTACTGAAGTGAGTCTAGTACTACATAAGTATTTAAAGGAGTAATTTAAAAAGAGCCACGTATATTCATAGTTAGCATAACTGATTTGCTAACCATTTTTGATGTTAAAACATTCGAATATTTACCAAGGTGTTCTCAATTCGGACAGATTCACTTGGGTGGGGGCATCCATTAGTAAAATTCCGAAACAGCATCAGTTTGATTTAAATCTCAAGATGACCCATTTTTCCGACCGGGAGTAAAGGTTGACTATCTCCAATTCCATGGGATCGACCACCAAGATGGCGCCTCTCCTACTAAATTAAAAGAAGTCGAATGTACAATGAAATAAATAACAAAGATAACTTGACAATTTCTGACACAGATGCTGGCTGGCTGAGAATATCACGGAGGGAAGATGTGAACAATGAGAAAGTTTTAAAGAAAATATAACGAGATGTTTACTATGGTTTAGGGTCAGAAAGCGACAGTTGAAATTTCTGGGACACATAATGAGAAAAGGAGACATGGAGAACTTGACACTCAGAGGATATAATAAAGGCCAGCGGAACAGAGAGAAACGGTAAATAACATACCTAACTAGTTGGGTAAATATATGGCAGAACCTGAACAAAGATAGCGAACAAACAATTCTTTGAGCTACAATCGCTAGGAAGACGTGGAGTGTCATGATCGTCCATGTCTTCAAGGGGAACGGTAAATAAAAGATATGTGTATTGGGATCCATGTTAATTGATTCAAGCCTAGCATTAAACCGAAGTAGCTAAATAATATTGCTTCCCAGAGATGCTTGGATGTTATGACACAGTGCCAGACGAACGGAATCCCTGCCTAAGGAACGACATCTTTTACACTAGCGAATAATCACGTGAGGCGGTTTTGTTAACAATAGCCCGACATAATGTGCATGCGTATTTATACACAAAGCTTAACTGACGCAGGTCTACAGTGTTAGTCACCCATTAACGTTTGAACTCCATACATTAGTGAACCAGTTAGCAAGACGACATTGTTAACCATCACGGTAAACTTTCCTCTAGTCTCAGGGTATGAGCTTTATGTGAAAGTGCGGCACTGAGATTTTGGAGGTCCTTAGGAATCATTAAAGGCCTTTTATAAACAAAGATAAGGTAATAAATGTTGAGAAAATATCCTTAGAAACAATGAAAACCGTGCGGAACTGCAATGTAATCTAACTAAACAAACGGCAAATTCTGTCTGCCCGTCCGTGTGTCTAAAGGCCCTCTAACTCGAGCCAACTTTCCCAAGAACTGATATTTTGTGGAATCGGCTCCCAACAGGATGCTTTCCCGATCACTATAATCTTAACCTCTTCAAGTCTAGTGTTAACTGTCATCTTTCCCACATAACCTCAAAAACTGCACTTCTTACCTACTATTCTCACTGCGCATACAACAACTTCATTCAATAACCATCTTCCTTGAGTGGCTCTTGTGCCTTTATGGGATGAACATTAGTAAACAAAGAAATGCTGATAGCAAGAGAAGCAGAGGAAAACTGAGTTTCTTTCTTAACAAGTTTGGGTTGGTGACAGAATAAGGGCAAAGGGCGGTGTTAAAGTGGCAAGAATCATTAAGAATAACAAAAGAAGTTGTGGAGAGCCATGATCGCCTATGCTCTAAAAGGACATGGCATACAGTGATTTACTAAGCGAAGCGTAGAAGAGGCACAAGGCCAAAAGCATGGAGCACCCAGCGAAGATCGAACTCACTACTAATTGATGTAGCAAGAGAAGCTTGCTAATCAATATACCACGTCGAAGTACCCAAGAGATTTACTTAGCGTAATTTAGATGTGGCACAAGCCCTCAATGAGGATCGAACTCACTACTCAGTTGTAATTGATCTAGTGAGAAAAGCTTGTTGACAATTACACGAGGCTTGGCATATATACCTTGATAAAATCCAAAGATGTATCAGCAATATTATTGGTCCTGATCTGGCGGCTTGGCTTCAAGCACTTTCCCACCGCCGTAAGGTTGCCTCTCTGTGTCTTTTTTTATAAATACTTTCATGATAATGGTTCGAATGAGCTCATTGCTATGGTGCCTAGACTATGAATTTAAGAGCAGTAATAGTCTGGCGTCGAGATCTCATCAAGTTGCGTTGGGTAGATATAGCCGTAAATTCCAATGCTAAGAGTTTCTTCTCTTGCAATTCTCGTTTGTGGAACTCCTTACCAGTTATATTCTTTCTAGCCAACTTTAATCTGCAAAAATGTAAATGCAATGTCAATTGTTCCTGATTACATTTTACCCAGGGCGAATTCATATAAGAATGCGTATTAAAATCAAATATTGGAGTTCCTATATAAAATGCCGTAAAAGAAAAAAAAAACGGTACTAGCTAGCTTGCCTAGTGCAATTTCAATGAAATTAGTTACTGTACTCGGCAAGAGAGTATGCCTCTAAATTGGTTGGCGTATTATATACCGTTTAAGCTGTATCTGGGGAACAGGCATACATACATACAAGATTAGTGTTTTAGTATTCTTGGGGTACCTTGACGTGGTGTAACGGTTAGTAAGTTTGTCTAACTAAAACAGTTACGAGTGAATAGTGAGTTCGATCTTCACTGGGTACCCCATACTTTCGACCTTGTGTCACATCTAAGCTCCGCTTAGAAAATCAACAAATGTGTAAATCTCGCCTTGCAGGGGTTTGTCTATTTATCATCTCTCAGTTGCGTTTCTGTCTTTGGGCAGAGTGCACTCAGTGGCGACTTCGTCAAAGGACAGAATAGCAACTGAGAAAAATGATACTGAGAGGTGACCAACCCTGGGGAAGAGCTGCCCGAGGCCGCGCCATTTCATTGTGCCAGAGAGAGAGAGAAAGAGAGAAAGAGAGAGAGAGAGAGAGAGAGAAAAGAAAGAAAGAAAGAAAGAAAGAAAGAAAGAGAGAGGTGCTCGCACCGAGGCCAGCGCAACCGACGGTTGCGGGAACTGCGGGAAATTTTTGTTTCTTGCTCGGGTGTACGCGCTCGGGTGCCCACCTTAAGAGAGACCTTGTGTCACAACTCGTCTTGGGGGGGGGGAGACAGAGTAAAAACCTAGTATTATGTAATGCTTAAAAAAAAAATCTTTCAAATAAAAACAAAATTTAACTTCAGAAAAGGCACTTACATTATTGAAAACCGTGATACCCAGAGTTAAATATTTAACTGTTTTATAATTTCTTTCACTATGCCATTAAATAATTGATGATTTAATATTTATGAGAATTTCTTTTTTTAATTTAGGGACCATTATAATATATGTTACAGGTCCCGCATTGGCTTAATCCGGTCCTGGAGACGCTGATTTGTTTTCTTTACAAAATTAATGATTTATAGATGCCTGTCAATTGTACTTATTTTGCCTTTGCAGACCATTGGTATGTTTTCAGTCTACAACAGAAACATTAATTTGTTTGTCCCAGTGAAAAATGGGGTGAAATCAGTTGCTCGGTTGCCACACTCGCGTCCCGACACCATTTCCGGCGTCAAGCGCCAGTCGTTCGCCTCCATAATATGGCTGACATAGAAGGCGTAAGGACTATGTCATAGAATTTACTTGATTATTTTTCTCTTCCGTTTGCCAAGATTTTTCATCTCAACTAGCTTCATTTTGCTTCTGCAGGTCTTCGCTGAAGTTTTAACAGGCATATTGTTTTCTCTGCACAAACTGACTGACTGCTCACCTTACTAAGACAGGTGGTCCAACATTCATTTGACAGAAGTTATCGTACAAATAATAGATATATTTTTAATATATATTCACCGATTACAAGGCCCAAGAGCGCCTCAATATAGACTGTTACAAAATGAGATTTCTTTATGAACGTAAGAGGAGAAAATAAGTGCAGATTATGAGGATATGTAGAATAAATAACGGTTGGATTTAGATTTAAAGCGGTTACAATTGTAGTAACTGGGGACGTATTTTCTAGAGAGCCTGTTTCACAAAATATCGATCCTTGGAAAGAAGCTACCAGAATGTAACTAATTCCTTAGCAATGAAACACGAAAAAACTACGGAGGATTCAATCCTATATATGTAGCATAGTTGTTTCGCGCTGTGAAAGCCTGTTCCGGTAGTACTAATGAATGTAACACGCCTGAACATTTGCCATGGAAATAGCAATAGTGTAACGTTATACTTGCGATATTTCGTCTGTGGGACAGGGGCTGTCAAGTTGCAAATAATTCATCACTCACAAGGCCGCGTAAACGCTTTTGAATTCTGTCAAGACAGGAAGCTGAGTGTTGGAAAGCTGTTGGCCGGATATGGAATCGATGCTCCATTTTTTGTCTGATCTGGTTCTTGTAAAGAGAGAAGATGACAAGTACATTCTGGAGCTGTACAAGGGACCGGCCATTTTTCTATCATATTTGCTGATGTATGGATATACTTGAGATCTGTGATGAACTAGTTTTCGGCGTGCAAAGTTCGAATTCTGATTGTGTCTGCTTCGTGAATTTTCAACCTTTGGTAACGTAAGAGCGCATCTTCAGCTAGCTATGGACGAATCATCAGAACAGGTTTGGTCATCTTGCCTTGGTTGGAAGCCAGTGTAGGAAAACTTTGAATTCAGAACAACACTGAAAGTTAAAGAGTAAACAAATCCGGAATGGAACCCCTAATGCGATTGGATGGTGTATTGCACTGGTAACAAAGAACTTGTTTACCATTTCCTTCAGATTCTACAGATAACACGAGAATTTGACGTATGAACAATCAAAGATCTCCAGAGATTTTAGCCAAGCCTGTGGTTCTCTGCAATAGAAAACATACACGTAGAAAAGAGACGGGTATTTAGTCGTGTACATCTGCGAACCCATTTAAATGTATGGACAAAATCTGTAAAACTGAGTAAATTGTTTATATGTTCCTTTAATCATTCTGTTTTCAAATAGTAACTCAATACATTTTTGTGGCATTTTAGTAAATATATATTTGTTAAAATGAGATATCAGTGTTATTTTCATTTTGCGTAATTTAAACGACAAATTATAAATCGGACCCTATATATATATATATATATATATATATATATATATATATATATATATATATATATATATATATATATATATATATATATATATATATATATATAAATATAAAATCAAACCCTATATATATATAGGGTTAACGTCAAAAACGATATATATTTTTAACCTAATATATATATATATATATATATATATATATATATATATATTATTATTATTATTATTATTAATCTAAATGTTATTTTAATGGATGCCCATGTTTGGATTTTGAGTAAGAATTGCGTCTACAGGCCTTCGTGCTCGAAAGACGTAATAAAGAAAATGTGCTCTTGGGTTGAACGAATGTCTGATCAGGCGCAGTCGAGCGGTCTGAAGACAGTGGTTTCGCTTCCGGTCTTAGAGAAAATTTTCGTTATTAAATCCTTAGATTCTGCTGGCTATTCGTCGCAGTTAACATTGCTTAAAAAACGGAGCGTCTACTAAGATGTGTGTTTCCTTTAAAGTAACGTTTGAAGTGATACTGCTGGATTATAAAAAAGGTCATTAATTCATTGAATATATATATATATATATATATATATATATATATATATATATATATGTGTGTGTGTGTGTGTGTGTGTGTGTGTGTGTGTTTTGAATCCATCCAGTGTGCAAGGTCTGATGAAGCGAAATCGAATTTTATCGGTCTAGCGAAATAAAATATTACCATGGCTTTCTGAAGTCTCCGACTTGTTAATATATATATATGTATGTGTGTGTGTGCGCGCTATATATGCGTATAAGCAATTCGAGTATATTACTACACATATGCACTAAGGAGAGGGGCCAAACTTTAAATTAAATTATTTTTATTTTTAAATATGTTTGGGTATATTGTCAAGATAATTTCATAAGGTTTCTCTTTTGTTTAAGTTTTTAACACTTTTATTTTTAAGCATCCCACATTGGGACAATAGAACATCTGCCAAGAAATGTGAAATGTTGTAAGCGCCTGGTCGAAAACCTATTGTGGATTATTTAGCGATTAAATTACTTTCTATACAATTTCATCTTAGTAAATTACTTTCTCTTTTAATAGCATTTTCAAAATCAAAATTAAGGTCAGTAACTAAAGCATTGAATGCTTTGTTTTGTAAAAGACCCTTTTTTTCTGCACATGTAAAATTTATTTAAATTCCTTGAGATTTCTCCGTTTTATTCCCCCTTCACTTTTTAGTTTTTTATTATTTTGTTTTGTATTAATTCTTTTATTGTTTTAGAAGTAATTGATTCAAATTTTATGTTAGGCTTAGATAATTGTATTTCAATTGTAATTGTGATAGAGTTGGTGGGTAAAATAATACATTTTGATTGGTTGGATTTATCAGAAAGGTCCACTCCACTATTTTGAAATATTTTACAAGCCTCTTGTTTCGCGTTGAATATGCAATGATTAGGATATTGGAGAATCTTAAAAGCATTTTCCATATATGTCTCCTCCTCATATAAATATTGAAGGTTACCAATTCTAAGTGCTCCTAAATAGAATCCGATAATTATTCCAGATTTTATTTTTTTGTAACGGTAAGAATAGAACATAATTTGCTGAACTATATATATATATATATATATATATATATATATATATATATATATGTGTGTGTGTGTGTGTGTGTGTGTGTGTGTACAGCAAAGCAAAGTATTGGGAAAGCCAACACAAAGACTGCCATGTGACCGAAAGAAATAAAGAAATAAAAAAAGAAAAAATAGCAAGCAAAACTAATAAATGAAAACTAAAAGAAAAAAGCGAAAAAAAAAAAAAAAGAATAGGAAATATAAACTTAGAACAAAACAAAAAGACATCCACCCACCTAAACAATAGTAGAATGTGTTTTATGTTTAAATCACCAGAACAACACACACACACACACACACACACACACACACACACACACACACACACACACACACACACACACATATATATATATATATATATATATATATATATATATATATATATATATATATATATTGTTTTAATTTAAACATAAAACACTTTCAACTATATATATATATATATATTAAGGCATGTTTCATTAAATAATTTAGACATGTTCTGTCTACTTATTCTCGATAGGCTTCATTCATATTCGCGGATAAGCTTTTTTGTGTGGCTGTTAAATACGAGACGATCATATTACATTTATTTCCGAGTACTTTCGACATAGCATAATGTCATCATCACGGTTTTGTTAATTATAAAGTAAGTATTTAGCGTTCATAGTTGTGAAGGACAAAAATTGCTGTGGTCATCCGAAAATTACCATTTTTATATGTGGAGTCAGGAACGCTGAGTCATGGCTTGGGTGACGGACACCGCTTAAGGGGAGGTAACTAGGTATACTGTGGAAAAATCCGGAAGTGAGTAGTTGCTAGGTAAATGAAAACTATTAATGACAAGTGCTAACATTTAATAACTATCTATTGTACACATTTTAAAATGTTTGTGATGTATGATTAATTTTATTGAGGTTTGGTTTTAAATTTTTTATATATAAATAGCTTCGAGAATATGTAAACTCTAAAAACAGTTTCAAGACAACTCTGTCTTTAAATTTACATAGGAACTTAATACTATTAACAAAATTCCCTTTCTCGATATACTGATTAACACTAATAATAAGTTCACCATCTCCCCATATAAAAAACTTACCAGCATAAATTTCTGTACTACAAAAGTGAATTTCCTATCGCGAATAAATAGTCAGAACATGTCTAAATTATCTAACGAAACCTGATATGTCTAATTGAAGTTTTGTCTACTTATATTCAATAGCATCCTTTCATATTCATGAAACGGCTTCTTAGTATCCTTATTAAAGAAAGAGAGAAAATTACCATGTTGGTACACATTCATTTATACTGAG